GAGTGATCCCCACTTCCTCCGCCTCCCCAGGCAAGTATCTCAATCATCCGGCCTACCCAAAGCCCTCTCCTGTGACACCTTCCTGGCTTTCCCCTCTGCACTAACAAAGCTTTTGGTACAGACCTTTATTACGCCAAGTAATGTACAAGGTTATAATCACAGGATTCCAATTCTGACTCTTCCGATGGTTCTTCAACGGCGCAGACCATGTCTTACTCATCTTTTGAATCCTCAGTGCTTAGTACCGGACAAACAACAAGTATTCAAGGCTTGGCACCCACAGCTCAGTGAGTAGGGCGCCGGCCACATACACTGAGGCTGGAGGGTTCGAGCCCAGCCTGGACTTGCTAAACAACAATGACAACAGCAATAAAAAAAAAGGCCGAGTATTGTGGTGGGCGCCTGTAGTCCCAGCTACTTGGGAGGCTGAGGTAAGAGAATCACTTCAGCCCAAGAGTTGAGATTGCTATGAGCTGTGACGCCACGGTACTCTACCAAGGGTGACATAGTGAGACTGTTCCCCCCCGCCCAAAAAAACCCCAAGAGGTATTCAAACAATATTTGGTTCATTTTCTTTTGTTTTTTAGAGACAGGGTTTCCCTCTGTTGTCCAGGCTGGGCTAAAGCTCTCTTGCTACCTCAGTATCCCCATAAGACTCTGTGCTCACGTCCCCACACCCCAGCGAGTATTTTAATTTTTTGTAGAGACAGGGTCTATGTTGCCCAGGCTGGTTTCCAACTTCTGGCCTCAAGCAATCCTCCCACCTCAATGTCCCAAAGCCACCATGCCAGGTCTCAAATAGTATTTATTTAGAACAACTAAATGCCTCTCATTCTAAGAGGTTACCGTAAGTAAAGCTACTGTGGCCAAGATTTCTGAACTTCAACTCAAGTTTGTGCATCTGTGCGGGCACTTGTGTGCATGTGCACACACACACACACACACATGAGTTCTGGGAGAAGCGGAGGTGTTGTGGTCCCAGGGCTGGGTGTGCTCAGCTCTTCCAGTCTTGTGTGGAACAGGCCCTTCCCAGAGAACCCCAGCTGGACCTGACAGGGCTGGCCTGGAAACCCACACATGGGGGCAAGCGTGGGGTGCTGAGGAAACACTAAGAGGTCTGACTTCCCTTGGAAAAAACTATAGTCAGACAGGAAACACACAGGCAGGGATGGCCAGCCCTGGACATCCGGACACGTGCTCTCGCCCCTCTCTCACTAAGAGCTAGCAGGTGGTACAAAGAAAACCCTTGATGACACCAGCCTGCCCCTCTGGCATTGCAGGCCCAGCCCTCAGGGCAGGCCTTTGGGTCTGGTCTGCTCCACTCTTCACCAGTCTGATACTCACAGCCACAGGCCAAGCCACAGGTCAAGCTCCAGCGAGCTGGTTCCAATACTACCTCCTCCCTGAGCCCACAAGCCTCTCAGTTTAGCTGTCTCCCCACCCCCTGATCAAAGTGCCACTCTGAATTGTTAACTATTTTTTTTCTCTGAAGGCAAAGACCATTTTCATCCACCACCTCAGGGAGCCTGGCATCTAAAAGACTATCTGGTGAAGAATCAGCCACAGATGAAGCTCCCACCGTGGTACATGGCAGGTGCTCAGGGAACACCTCCATGGATCCTCCACCCGTGGTCACTGGGCCCACAAACACCCTCAACTGGACAACCTCACTAAACGTGGATCTGAACCCTCTCACCACAGAAGGCACCAGAAGAAAAGTGTAAAGCCAGAGCCTAGAGAGGCTGAGGCTGTCATGGGATAAAAAAGTCAAAGGGGTCTCTGCTCTGTAATACACAAACAGGTCCTCGGGAGCCACAGGGACCCTCAGGGAACATAAGAGTCTGAGCCCAGTGGCAAGAAGCATCTTGGGGTTGTCAGTCAGCCACCTACTGGAGAGCTGGACCCAGCTGAGGCACTGGCACACACTGGTACTACCACCCATGGCACGAATCACGCTTGATTTCCATTTCCTCATCTGTAAAATGGAATGGAACTTCCAACCACCCAGGGCCCTCATGAGGATTAGGCAAGAAAACAGAATGACAAAGTCTCTACAGCAAGCAGCGGGAACTCTATACTTGCTTTCTATTCGCTATTGTCAGTCTCTGCAATGTAAAAGGCAAACACAAACCTGGCTGCTGTCACACCACCAGGACAACCAATTTTGTCAGAACTAAAGCACTCCCTCACCCGTTTTGAGCCGTACTATTGCCCTAGAAATTAGCAGATGCTACCCCATAGCACAAGTGTAAATCAAAAGGGCAGTGAGTTAGAACAGAACAAGGCCTTACATATGAGTGCTGTGCCCCTTTACTGAGCTATGCCATCTCTACCTCAGGTCCACTGCCACCCTGTGTGTGGCACAGTTCCTCTTTGGCCAGGCTTTAGGCTCTCCCTGGTATCCGGGTAGGGTCAGCAGGAAAAGGCCAGACACCTGAGGCACCTGGGCAAGAGGCCAGGTGGCAGGGGACCCAACTGGCAGCTCAACCTTCCTCCAAGACTATAAGGATCAGAACACATGAATGAACGTGTGCAGGAGTGGGGCAGGACTTCAGTGGGAGGCTCCATTCGCAAGGTCTGAGCTCTACACATGCATCTACCAGCTTGTTTGCTCAGGCTCCTTCGCTCTGTGCTCCTCAAGTCAAGGCCCAGACCCTGCTATATCTTCTGCCCACCCTCCAGGCCCCAGCTATTTTATAAGATCACTGAATTTGTATACCTCTGGCTAACCCACTCTTGGAGGTAGATCAGGTACTCTCATTCTTGCCTTCATCTCCCCAAAAAGACTTGAGACACTAGATCCTCCCCTCTTTACACGCCTCCCTTCTGTTTAGGCCCAACTTACAAATAAAAAAGTCACACCCAGGAGTTAAATGTGCCAAACTCCAAAAACTTTCTCTATAGAAACACTGTTCTATATGATGGGTAAGTGGGTGGGTGGGTACGTGGGCTGGAGCAAAACAAAACCATTTCCTGCCTTTTTCCGAGTAGCGATCTAAGCGAACCATGAATTTGGCCCTTGTCCTCCTCCCCTCCTGCACCCTCACCCTCTCCTACAGCCACACTCCACCTCCATCAACATTTCCTGTCCAGGGTCTGGGAGGGCAATCATAGTCTATTACTGTTATCATTATTATTAACAGTTCACATTTATTAAACATTCACAAATGTATCAGGCATTGCTAGGTGTTTTATATTAAACTATCTCACCTAATCCCCAGACCAAGTGTATGTGGCGGACATATTAACACCCCATTTTACAGATGAGGACGTCAAGGCTCAGAGAAGGTAAGTAATTGGCCAGGACACACACAACTAATATATGAGCATCAAATCCAGACTTGGCGTCAACCCTGTACTACATTTATTGCCTGCTGGTCATATGTGTGGTTTAAAATGCAGTCTGTTACCCAGGACATTTCTATCCTGGAACCTCTAGCCAGTGCTCCAACGCATGCAGCATAGCGACCACCACAGAACCAAGGAAGAGGACTGTGCCTGGGGTGAGATGCCTGAGTTATGTTCCCAGGTTATCTCAGCTCCTTGCAGTGCCTTCCCTCCTCCACTTCAGAATCCACAGTATCTCAAATCACTAAAATGTTCTCCCTATGGCTGACAAGGACCAATAGGGGCTCTGAGGAAGGTGGCTGCCATTTCTCTGTTTGGCAGCTGTGTGAGATCTGTGTCAGATATGGAGTTTGTAGCTGAGGATGGCTGCCTCACCACAAGACCTTCCTTCCTCCCAACCTCCTTGCCCATCTACATGCATGCACACCATACCCAAGAAGATCTGCGGTACCCTCCCTTGGAGTGTCACTTCCTGGATCCCCCTCCTCCACACAGACCTGGCTCTGAGCCTGGCTCTCTCTACCAGTCTCTAGGGGTCCTTGCAGGAAGCAGCCCCACAGTCTCGGTTCAGGTACATCATCTCTTCACACTGGAGAGTGGGGAAAGAGCTGAGTGCCCATCCCGCCACAGCACAGGCACGCACTAAGTGGAATAACACTCGGAAAGATCGGGGGGTTTTTCAAAATCCCCCAACTCCCTCCTCCTACCAGAAACCTGCACAAAAGCAGTCAAGCTCAGGCCTGGGAAGGCAAAGAGGCAGGAAGCCAAAGGGAGCCGCTCCCGGCTCCCTGCAGCCACCGGACACAGGACACAAAGGGCTAGACCCCAAACTGACTGCACACTCTTGAGAAAAGGACCTGACTCCAGGACACTGGGGCTGGCCTTTTTGGAGCCAAAGCTCCAAGAACGTGGTTCCAAGGGCAAGGGGAATCCCTGCCCTGGCTCTGGGAGTCTGCCCACACACACAGGCCTCCAAAACTCAGCTTTGGGACAAAAGAAGCAGGGAAAAAAACCCAAAAAAACCAGCCACTGCCTTCTCTGAGGCTTTTCCAAACCAAACAAGACCACTTCCCTCCTTCTCCCCAAGAGGGAGATGAGCAGGCCCAGCTCTGCTCCAAAACCAGTCCTACCCCAACATCTGCCTTAGTTCTACTTTGGGAACCCAAAGGTTCCTTTGCAAATAAGAGCCCAGTATGACGGCCCAGAGTTTCACAGACTGCTCTTTCTGGAGAGAGTGGTGGGCCGTGACCGTCCGGTCCGGCCTCCGGTTCTCTGGCGCGGGGGGCCGGGGGGGGGGCACTGCCACGGCTCCCCTCGCTGCCACCAACAGCACTCCCAGGGGATGGAGAGCCCCCGAAGACTAACCCCGCTGGTCTCCAGCCAGCGAAGATTCTTAGGTTTCGGGGTAAAATGCGGCGAACACTCGCCCCTAGCTGGGGGAGGGGGTGTCTTGTCAGGTGACCGAGGACCCGGATGCCCCCCGCCCCCAGTGACCACCGGAGACGAAGCGGGGGCGGGGCCCGGAGGGAGTAGGAGAGTGCCCGAAAGTTTGTCCAAGTCACTCGGGCGGCCGGCCGGGGATCGCGGACCCGAGCAGGGACCCCATCGCCCCCGCGCGCAGCGGGCCCCAGGCAGGGTGGGGGCGCACTTACTGGCCCCCTCGATCTTGTCGGCGCCGCGGCTCCACGTGATCTGGCGCGTCTCCAGCTTGACCTGGAAGGTCTTCCGCTCGGGCCGCTGCGACTTCTTGGAGTAGAACAAAGTCATGACCGTGCCCACCTCGAGGCTGCGGCAGAGGTGCAGCACCTCGGCGTCCGAGGGCGCGCCGGGCCCGCAGCCATTGGCGCAGGGGGACGCAGCGCCCGCCATGGCTCCGGCGCTGGGGGCGGCGGCGGCGCAGCCCGGTCTGGCGTGGAGGAGGAGGAGGAGAAGGAGGAGGAGGAGGCGGCGGCGGCTGCTGAGGCGGCCAGCGAGCGGGACCCGGCGGCGGCGGCTCCTGCGAGCGGACACGGGGCGGGGCCTGAGCGCGGCGG